CATTAGTTTTGTCAGATTGTTTGCATTGGATGCTGGTAGTTTTAAAAATATAATAAAGTTTTGAAAGTAAATGCGACAACTGATTTCGACTGGGTCGAAATTAGTGACTTAAATAGTAAATAGAACAAGTAAAAGTAAATCAAATGGAAAATAACTTTATTTTCATAAGTGTAAAAGTGGTAGGCAGGTACATTTCTTTAAAAAAAAATCTGTTTCTCGCTTGGAAATGGGTACTTTGAGTGTATATTGAATTTTACAATGATTTTTTCTACCCGAAATCCTAACACTAGAATTCCTATTCATAATGCTACGAAACTAACGGTCTTCCAATGTTCAAATGGCTTTCCGTCCGACACGTCATCTCTGCATGCTTAAGAGTTCTTCGGTTGATCTCCATGTGTCTTTGGCATATTTTTAAAAAACCAAAAGACAAGTATTTCAGTTTGAAATTTGAATCTGGTTTTAGACAAACCCCTTAAACCTATCAAATTTGATTAGTTAACAAATCTCCTGAAAAATTTCACTAAATACGAGATGCGATTCTTCAATGTCGAATTTTGTTATTTCTTTTTCCAAAATCTTTGGTAGAAAGGCATTTTAACCTTACCTTATGTTTACAGAAATTCCAGCTGGTTCCTCTGTCGAATTTCCTCTTTTGGAATTTCTTGGCTAAACAATTGCCCCCCCAAAATGCCCTTTTAGATTTATTTCTGAGAGACAGGTGGCGTTTTTAAAGTTCCACCACTATTCAAAGTTGTGCGTTGACGTCACTATCATCATGGCTACTCCACTTTTAGGAGCATTCAGCGAACACCTTCAAATTGTGTTTTGGCATGCTTACATCAACATTGTTCGATATAGATTCCATCGATCCTCGACAAATAGGCGAAGTGTTCGATCTATTTGTTGAAACTTAAGACATCATTGGGTTCAAATCGAAAGGAGCTAGCTTTACCAATTTCATTGTTGACCATTTTGACGAGGCTACCACAAATGTTTCTGACGAAGAGCATGTTGACTTCTTATCTCTATGGCTGTCACACTTCATTTTATGTTCAAGTTCTCTACAAGTGGCGAAATTGTATGTCACCCTTGCCAACCAATTACATGCTTGGAGGGACGCCTGCTTAGGCCAATTAATTTTGGCTTCACTTTATGAAGCTTCAAGTTTGGCATCTAGTGTCATGAATATGTTTAACCCTTCCAATAATCCCATATCCATACTTCTACTATCGGGTCCCTTCCGACTCCTCCAACTCTGGCTTAATTCCATTTTTGAGCCATCTTTGGTGGTGAACAAACCTAATCACCTGGTTGGAGAATCCAAAGGTTGACACATTGAAGGAAATTGATTGGCCTTGATTACTCCTGCTTGTAGCACCCCAAAATTTGCCCATCTTTTCTCTTGGACCTTGGCTTATATTTCTTTGCATCTTCATATTCTTTTTTGTGTAGCATTGTTCTAAACAAAGGACCAAGGCATCATGGCTTGTTTCTCAAGATAGGAGGAACATGTTTCTTCAACCTCAAGCAAGGTTTTCTTCTTGACTTTCATTTTGAAGCCCCAAAGATCCCCATCTTCAAGTATGATTCAAGGCAGCATCATTTAAACATCATATGTTGTTCACCATGTCTTAGTTTGCAAGAAATAATTAAGAGATTCAAGTTTGGTTCAAGGTGTTTGACCTAATTTAGAAAATTGTGATTGCTATGATCAAATGGGCAAAACTTCTTCCATTTTCAACATCTTGAGGTGGTTCTTTTTCTAATGAACTCTTCTCATCATCCCCTACAAGCTTAAGGTGTGGAGATCATCTTGAAAAGACACATCAGATGAAACCACTATGAGCTCCAATGGTTATGGTTTGAAAGACCTTCATTTTTCTGCAAATCTCTGTAGATTTCAAGTGCCTGGAGGTTGAAGATAATGATCTCACTGTCCATCATGCCACTTGTTTTAGTCCTGCGTGTTTGACCTTTTTTTATTGGAAATGATGAGGTTGACTCAGATCCACCGTGGATGCACGTTTTCTGGCCTTTGGATTAGCCGCGTTATTTAATGAAGTGAGATCCAACGCATCTTGTTTTTTCAGTTTTATTTTCTTTTTCTAATTTGTTTTTAAATTCATTTTATTTTTTTTCAGAAATTCATAGAAAATTCATTTTATCAGAAAAATACCAAAATATTTTCTAAAATTTCCTTTCATTTTCCTCTTTCTGATTTTTATTTTTGTGCATTTTTATTTTTCAGTTTGCTATTTTTCTTGAATTTTTATTTGTTTAAGCCAATTCTAATTAGTTTAAAATTATTTTTTTAGAATTTTAAAATTATGAGAAAATATTATATGATCCTATGATGGTTTTGAACCTATGGTGATTTTCTTTGTTTTTTATTTCTGTTTTTGCTATTTTTCATGTATTTTTGATTTATTTGGTTAATTTTAATTGGTTTAAAATTATTTTTGAGCCATTTAAAATTATGAGGAAATTAGCACATGATCCTATGATGGTTTCTGACCTATGGTGATGTTCTTGGATTTTTGTTTATGGTCTAACCATTTTCTCTCCTTTTTTAGGTTTTATTTGCTTTTTTTATTTGATTTTTAATTGATTTTAAAATTGCAAAATGATGTGATATTGTTTTTAATCCATGATTGGGTGCCTTTCTGTTTTTTCCTCAAGTCATTTGAGACTTTGATGCTTGTTTGATGGTTGTTTCCCTTTTGGGATTTTTTTGGTTGTTTGATTCTTTTTTAGGCATGTTCTTGTATGATTCCACTTGTATGATCCCTTTTTTGTGTTCATGTTTGAGTGTTGAACTTGCAGATCATATTGATGTTGTGGTTTCTTTTTGGTTTCATGTCATGTTCATATGTTTTCTTCTTTATGGTTGTATGCATGCTTGTGGGATATGGTTTTGACTTGTTCATGAATGGGATACATGATTTGTTTCTTGTGTGCTTTCTCTTTAATCATTGATATGATTTGAACATGTTATGTTGTGCTTGCTGCCCTACCATGTTTCTTGTGCCATTTGACTTCATCTCATTATGCTTTATGATAGTGAATGTTTGTTTGATGTTGACTTGATGATGATGCTTACTTTGTTTGAGATTGAAATGAATGTGTTTGTTGTCTTCATCTTGGTTTGATAATGACTTCTTATTTGTCCATTCTTCATTCGTCTTCTTTCTTCTTCTTTTTCTTTTAGAGACTTGTTTAATTTCATCCTTGTTTTCATTTGTGATTGAATTGATTGGTGTTTATTTGTGTTTGTTCACATGATCCTTTAGGATTCCTAGTCTCTCTTAATTTCTGATTAAGATGGGAGTATGAGAGACATTAGGCTTTCAATCCTTTGCATGATAACATCTAGGGTAGTCTCTTCTTGACCTCAACTTTAGGTCCATCATTTGTATGATAACATTAGGTAGACTTCCGTTTCATCCTAACTTTAGGACCATATTGTATGACAACATTTAGAGTTTTCAGTTTCCCTTTAGTGTTCTCTTTTGTATCTTCTCTTCTCATCTCAAAAAAATTTAAGATACTTAATAGAGAACGATGAACGTTGTGCACCACGAGCCTTAAGTATGTGGGAAATGATGAGTGAAGGGGTTTCTTCTCACTTGTCTAGAGTGTTTAGTGTATGCCCTTTGGACGATATGCGGCATATTTGCTCGCATGTCATAGCCTTTAGTACAACGTGAATCTCAAACAAATTTAATTCACTTGTCTAAAATATTAAACTAAATTCAAACTTTTTTATCCTTCGGGATTGTTCTTAAATCATTTTCAGAAAAGAGTATGTTACTTTTCTGTTCTATCGCAAATAAACATTGAACCTAACTGTTGGAATGGGAACTTAGCGTCGCTCATAAAAAACACTTAACCAACCAGTGGTCTAGTTACCAAAACTATGTTTGCTCTGATTTTTCATGCCAGATGAGGATACGTAGGCACAAGACGACGATGTCTTGGCGAGCAACCTCCCCCCATCACCCGTAGTTTTCTAAACTACGTTGACTTTGACTTTCCCATTGCACAAGAGAATATGTAGGCATAGGGCAGCAATGTCCTATCGAGTCTCTATTTTCTTTTTTATCCCCCGTTTAGCAATAGCTTTTAGATAACTCACCCTTTTAGTTAGACAACAAGTGTGGATCCCGTTGAGTACAACGGACATGAGGTGTGCTCATACTTTCCCCTTACGTAACTGACTCCGAACCCAAGATTTGGTTGCGATGATCTTGTATTTTCCCGTTCTTTTATATTTTCTTCGATCGTTTCCTTTCCCTCTGTTTGGGATAAATAACGTTCAGTAACGACTCTTCTGTTTGGGTCCATCGGCCTTTTCGCAATTGCTATAGCTGGCGACTCTGCTAGGGACTTCTGGTTCCCTAGGCGAGTCAATCTTATCATTTATTTGTGTTGTGTCTTTGGGGTGTTTATTTTTGTGCAATTATTTGTAT